GACACTCAGGGAAAGGAGGGACACTCAGAGACACTCAGGGAAAGGAGCAACGCTCAGGGAAAGACTCAGAGAAAGGAGGGAAACTCAGGGACACAGGGAAAGGAGGGACACTCAGGGAAACTCAGGAAAAGACTCAGAGAAAGGAGGGACACTCAGGGACATTCAGGAAAACACTCAGGGAAACACAGGGAGACAAGGGACACTCAGGAAAACTCAGGGAAACACTCAGGGAAAGGAGGGACACTTCGGGAAATTCAGGGACACTCAGGGAAACACTGAGAGACACTCAGGGAAACAAGGGGACACTTTGCAGGGAAACACACAGGGACACTCAGGAGAAGGCAGGAACCCCCCGGCAAAGCAGCCCCCTCCCCCCAGGAGCTGCCCCTCTCACCTGGGGGGGTGAAGCCGAGGGCACAGGAGGCACTTCCAGAGGGGCAGGAGAAGCTCTTGGGGGGCAAAAACTGTGGGAGAAGAGCAGAGGTTTGGGTGTGGGCTCAGCCCTGAACCCTAAAGAACGGGATCGATCCTAAAGAACAGCCTTGAGCAGCTTTTTCTGCGTTCCCACCTGTTTATTTCCGTGGGATCAGGGAACAGTTTGGGTTGGGAGCGACCTTTCAAGGGGGTTTTCCCTTCCCGGGGGCACCAAGAGGCACTTGGGACAAGGAGTGATGGGCCGAAGGGTGAGGGGCTTCCACCTGGGAAAGGGGATATTTAGGTGGGATTTTGGGAAGGAATTCCTCCCTGACAGGGCGCCGAGAGGCTGGAGCAGAACTCCCCGAAGGCTGAAGCAAAATTCTCGAGGATTCCCCACCCCCGGAATGACCGGTTCGGAGCCGTCCGGCTCCGCGTCCCTCAAGTCTTGCGGCTTTAACAAACGCGTTTCCCGCTCCCTCCCCCCAACTCCCGGGATACCGCCGGGATTCCCCCAGGAAAAGGGAGGAGGGGCCCCGCACCTTCCTGTCCGAGGGGTCCCTCGGGAAGGGCCCGAAGGCGGGGCCGCGCTCGGGCCGCGCCGCGTCCCGGGCCCGCTCCATCCTCATGCGGCGGCGGAGCGGCGGCGAACCGGACACAGCGACGGAGGGCTGCGGGACGGCGCCGGGGCCCAGGAACGGCCCCGGGCCCGCGGGGGGAGCTGAGCGAAGGCCCCGAGCCCGCGGGGGGACCGAGGAATGGCTCCGAGCCCCAGGGACAACCTCGGGCCGGAGAAAGGACCGAGCGACCCAGGAACGGCCCCGGGTCCCAGGAACGGCCCCGGGCCCGTCCTGAGGAGCCGCTGCCGCCGCCGGAAACGGAAGCGCCTCCGGAAGCGGAAGCGGGACCGGCCCGAGCGCGCGCGGTTTTCCCGGGCTCGGCGGCGGCGGAAGTGAGGGCGGAGGAGAGGTGGCGGAAGTGACGTCAGGGAGAGCGGCGAGAGGCGCGCGGGAGAGCGCCCCCTGCCGGGGAGGAGGACGGCGGAGGAGGGCAGCACTGCTGGGGGGAGCACCTATAGAGGGGTCACCTATAGAGGGGTCATC